AAAGTATTAGGTGCTGACCAAGTTATGTCCTGAACTGGAGTTTAACGAATGTTCTGACAAACTCTCAAAACAGCTGGTAAAGAACAAACAAATTAATGTAGCTCCTCAAAAGGAAAGGGTGAGCATTGACGGTTCTCATACCGTGTACATCTGGCTATCTACATCATTAAAAAGGATGCAGCCAGACAGATCATCTCACCTTTATTTTGTTTATTTCCAAATAAATTTTACATGTACTTCCATCAAAAAACTGGTCTTAAGTTTCAATTAAAATAAGGCGTTTGTTCAACCAAAGAAAAAAATCTTTAAAGGACATTGAAATTGATAACATTATAATTTTTTTTTTTTTATACCGTATACCACGAAACCATGATATTTACTGAGAGTTATCCTACCATGAAAATCTCATACTGTTGCAACCCTAGTGGACGGAGACGGGGGAAGAAAAGAAACAACCTTCAGAGAATTTAATTGAGATTTAAGTAACAATCCAAATAAAATTGCCTGCAAATTTTGTCATGAATTTATATCAGAAATTTACTGTTAAGACCCTAAAATTACTGATCTATGACCTGAACAGATGCCAACAGATTTTAGTTAGGTCTGTGCTGTGAGAAATTAGATGACAGGCATGGCCAAAGCCAAAAGACGACTGTGTTGTCTCACCAGTGGACTGCAGATATTGACATACATTCTCAGCCTGCATTAGCGAAAATAACTCACCAGCAGTCTGGATTTACCTCCATATAACACTGCAGCCTGTCCTCTCCTGCAGTGTCTCCTCCTAATCTACTTGCCAAAGAAATTTGGGATAGTTTTGTTGAGCAATAGGCACCATTTAATGAAAATTAATATTCATCATGTAATTACAAATAAGGTGGAACTCTTATGAAAAGCCATAATTAATGCATAAGGAATGCATTGATTGTTTAGGGATCTTTGTGAGCTTCAGTGCCAAAATAAATTCCCAAAATGTCAAAAGAAATGTAGAAGTATTTTGAAGCAGATTTGTGGTCATGCAGTTTTAAAGTGGGGGTTATGGATCAGTTTGTAAACAAAACATTAGATAAACAAATTGAAAGATCATAAATGCAAATACATACTAGCCTCATGACATGTAAACACATCCTGTATGTGTAAGCACAGTTGTACCATGTGTCAATATTCATTATAAATCTTTTCTATTGGTACTAAACAGGCTCGACAGATCCCCTGTGTATCTTGTGATGTACAAATGCATGCAAATTCAAAAAACACAGTCAAATCTAAAGTGCATGCCAGACAAAGCAGATTTGGGAAAAGCCACCTGGCTATAGGGACTTATAGTTTGTTTTCTAAATTTCTACAGCAGCTGTAATGAAACTCAGGAAATT